GGTGTAAGTAGGAGTATGTCGTCGTGTTTGGGCTCTGCAGTGAGATGACAAAGCGAACCGGTTTGACTAACACTGTATGATTAACAGAATCAATGTAGAACCTTGCACACAGGTGCATCGGCTCATGTTGTCACACTTCGCAGAAGTAAACAAAGAATAGGTGGATAGAAAAGGAGAATAAACAATCTGAAAATAAAGGCTAGCGTGAATATTCAACCTTTAGAAGATGTCAAGGAGTGAAGTATCTGTGGTATTGTGAACGATTTTCAGCCATGTCATCAACAGTCCTCAACCGCTGATTCCTCTCGGTTTGAGCCCAGACAGCACTCTTTAACTGGTACTTAAAAACTTTCGTGGAAAAGGAGTTACAGCTGGGTGAAAGGCATCACAGAGCTGCATAATCAGTGGCATGTCCTGTTTTGGTTTTGGACTTAGACATGGATAGTTGAATGAATGAGAAAGTAATTCGACATCGGGATGAAAAAAAAATCCTCATTGTGTTGCATCCTTTACTGAATACTGCAGTTAGTATATATGGAATTTCATAACACCCGTTCTTCTGACTCCATTATTTTATCTTAAGCAGCGACGTAAGCCAAATTTGATTTCGGTTACAAAACATCTAGTCATTGCAAAGTGAATCAATTACACCAGTTCATGAAGTCTCTGACGGTTGGTCTGGGCTAAACAATGAGTCGTTGGTTGGTTAACTAAGGACCTCGAAGTGACACTTTCAGTGGTTGCAAATTCTGAATGATATTGTCTAAGCGTGGTTAGAATAGTGTAGATATATCTGCTTAATCGTTGAAATTTCCGGTATTTCAACTAACCTCTCTTTACTTATTCCCCCTCGTATCTTATGCCTTCATCCATTTCAACATCATTCATTTTCTCTCCAGTTTCTTTCTGTATGATGATATGGCGTACAGCTTTAAATTATTCACTTCCATGAAAGTTACTACATTGATTGGTGAGATCGGTTAATCAAGTAATGAATACATTTATCGGCTGAGATAGCTAGGATAAATGTTACGCCGAATAAGCCATCATCTAACATGAAACTCGATGTTAGCTAGAATGTGATCAGGTTAAAAAAGGAATAAACTAAGCCTAAATAAAACATGACATCAGTCGATAAAAACTCTGACGGTTGATCGAGTTGGTGCAGAAGAATTCAGAATTCGAGGTTAGGCTCCGTTTGACAACCAAAATAGTTGGTTGAAGAATTCAGGTGATGTCACTCAGAATCGATCTCAGCTGTGAAGATACATCCAAACTCTATCCTCATAATAACCGGCATATCATATTTCATAACAAGAATAATTTGCTGGAAGAATTGTTTTCAATAACTTTTTCTTCATGTTCTACTATTATAAGTCCACGAGAATAAGTGAAATACAATAACCAAAATAAGGCATGATGTACAATTATGACTATATTGAAACAGCCAGTGTTATGGCTGGATGGGGATCAACATAAGAAAATGAATGTTTATCTATGTAATGACAAGATAGAAGAAAAGGATGAGAGGTTAAAATGTGAAGTTTGTGGTGGGAAAGTTCATAAAGAACGTGAGCCAAGGTAAACGAAGTGGATGTACATATTTCTTTTGAACACATATATCCGATTTTCTTGCTGTGATATCTATAGTTTCGGCTATGGATAAAATACGAAGTCGTACACCTTTGAAGAGATTGCAAGAGACATGGTATATCGCAGAAACGGCGTAATCTAACTTAATCTGATGTTCGGTATCTATTAGATGTGAGAGGATTGCACTGTTGATGCTCTTTGTCGTTCCTTTCCATAACCAAGCTGGTACATGTTTACGAGCGCCCGTGGATAGAGCCCTTTGAGTACTGCCTATGTAACTAGCTCCGTAGGAGCTGTTGAACTCATAAATGTACATTGAAGTGGTCATCATTCATAACGTATCTTTGGTTCGCTGTGTCAGTAATGGTTTCGTTGAAAAGCTAACAAAAAGTTCCACCGCATTGAATGTCTTTTCGACTGATCTATTTGATCGATGTGTTAAGATATCCGAGGGAATATTACCTTTGAAACTTAGTCTAAGATACATAGGCTTCTTAGCAACATTGTCTTTCTTTATTTTCTCTCTAGGTTGCGACGTGTGTTTATTTATGAAGTTTAGCGGATAACCATTTTGCTGTAATGTTATCTTATTCATTTCTTCTTTAATACGGTCATCAGAAGAGATGCTTCTTATTCTGTAACTCAGGCATTTGACCAGATTTCTTTTATATTAAACCGGTGTGAAGCTATGAAAGTGAAATATACTGACCAGTTCATTTGTTCTTTCGGGAAATATTCCTTTTAATATATCCACCTGTTTTCCTGATCAGAAGGACATCTAGGAAAGGAATACTGTTCCACTGTTCTTCCTCACAAGTGAACTTCGTAGCTGGGTGAACATTATTGAAGGTATTCAATGGATCCTCTTTATTGCAACCATTATTAAAAATGATAAACCTGTCATCTCCATACAGATAATAATAGTCTAGTTTATCAAATGTATTCCTAAGTGCGCCGTTTTCAAGTTTGACCAAAAAGATGTCCTCTAGCGTAAGACCCAGAGGAGAGCCGTTTGCAACCCCATCTACTTGTCGATGCAATTCATTGTTAAACGTAAAGTGGACATTCACAGTGAGCTTTGGAAATTGTTCGCTCAAATTAGTCTTGTTCTTAAGACTATATGTGGATCTTTATATATCACATTTCGTTGTTTGTCATCATCCTTATTCTGTTTTTTTTTGTTACTTTCTGCGACTAGGATCTCATCATGTCAATGTCTCTATCTTATATTTGATCACTTAGTATGATATCTTGATATCATGGGTAGTAATACTGTGTCTCGTGTGAATGTTGCCGGAATAATTTAAAAATTGTTTGATAAGATGATCAATTTGCAAATGACTTGCAATTTTCACACTTCATGTTGAAATATTTCACAGTTGAGTAGTTGAAAAACTACTCAACTGTGAAGTCAACATGATTTTTGTTAGACCATCGAACTTGTAAATCACTTGTCAATTGACAACCCTATTCAAAGCATAACGGCCCATCTGACCAGTTCTGTGTCTCGTGAGCTGAATTTGTCCAGACATACTTCTGATGAGCTCGGTTCAAAAAAAAGCAAAACAGTCATCCAGTGTTTAGATCACTTTGATGTGGATAAATAAATCTACAAATCAGCGTGAATGGTTTCCAACCATTCATTTTCTTCAATGGTATACTTTTCAGTATTACTTCAGTGTTCTACTCCATGTCTTTTTGATGACAGTGGTAAAGTTTGAAACAATTCAGTATTCGGCCAAATCGACAAAATCTTACATTCAACAATCTACTATGTGTAATTGTCTACATCGTGCTTTTCTATATTTTCCTACAATTTGAGTTCAGTTATTAGTTACTTCGTCTTTTAAAGTTTTAACTCCGCTTACAAACCATGAATGGCAGAAACAGTCACCATCAACATGGGAAACAGCATTACTACCCAGCTGACCATGTTTCTGAGCACGACATCATCCAATCAAGATATAATACTAAGTGGTTAGACATAAGACAGAGAAATAGATGTGATATGATCAAAGTCGTAGAAAGTAGTAAAAAACGGAATATTATATGCCTGTTGTTATGAGAATAGGGTGTGGATGTATCTGCACAGTTGAGATTAATTCTGAGTGATATCATTTAAAATCTCCAACCAACTATTTTAGTTTTCAAACGGAGCCTGACTTTGAATTCTGTATTCCTCTGTACGGCTACGATCAACCGTCAAAGGCTTCATTGACTGATGTCATGTTTTATTTCGGCCTCATGATAGATGGTGACTTATTTGGCGCAACACTTATCCCAGTTATCTCATCTGATGATTGTTCATAATCCTACCAACTGACTAATTTCCTATACCAAAATTTCTTTTAAACTCCGTATTAGTGACATTGCAGTCAATGCTGTGAGTGAAATGGTGGTCGAACACCTAGAATGTTACCTGCATTTTCAACAGCCGTTTCACAACCATAAAATAAATTAAAGCGAACTATTGTGGAGTACATGCAACCTAAAGTAGGTAATTGGATACTTTGCTGGGGATGTCACTGGTGTATCTCGGAGAAAGATGGTTGTGCCTATTCATGCCAAAATTTCACCAGGGACCAGCCCAATGAATATGATACGTTCTCCTAAGTAGGTGAAGTTGTAGTCATACCAAACCACGTTTCTCCCTGTTGCCAAACCAGGCGTTTACTCAGACAACTCCTGAAGCAAAAATCTCCATTTAAGAGATGCTAAGTTAGATAAATAAACTGATTATTGTCTTGTTTTGAATTCCAGATCTACTCATGATAATCGCCGTAGAAGTTTCTCATAGGAATAGCCTATATATTAACTAGTCTTCCTATAACACTAGTACTCTGAGTTTCTCATGTTTTTATCGTAATAATCGTTATAAATAGTGCAATCCCCTTTTGTTTTTCATACCACTGAGAGAGTGAGTTTAAATTGAAGGGAAAGATTTCTTTTTTGAAGCTGTGGCTTACTGGTCTAGATACAACTTTTAACCAGGGGTTTAGGAGTTCGAACTCCAGTTCCACATACCCAGGTCTGGAGAGCTAGGTGGTATCATTATTCCTCACACAATAGGTTAGGCTTACTAACGATTGCAAAGATGTGCATATGGTTGCTGAGTGTATTTCCTTTTCCTTTAACCAAAAACCTGGGTCAGTTTGAGCTAGAAAAGCCTACATATTGAGCATACCAATTAGTTATGGAGAGTGTCCCTGTATAGTGTGATTTATTTTCTCATGATAAACAAGTTTTATGATAGTTAACGCCTCGTCAGTGAATAAGTAAAATATTTGGGTTTAAAGTCAAGTCTACCAACCATTCAGCAGTAACCTTTTGAATATATTTATTGGTCTTGTTAGAAAAGTACATGTTTATATTAAATCTAATGAAGTCATCCTTTTGTACTGTTTCAGTCTCTCCCGTATCTTTCAACAACTTGGATTGGATTCACGCACCTCTTGTCTTTCAGTTTATCCTGTGAATCTCGTGAATCTCAGCTTGAAATTGCATCAACTTTTCATTTGATATGGGTTTGTTGACAGTTGGATCGCCTTTAGATTGGTGTGAAACTAAGAAACATGCAACGTTTATACATAAGCAAGGTATCAAGCAATTCTTAGTGTTGTATCACAAACTCAACTCACGGATGAAACATACATTGAAATGGGGTGATGAAATCGAATATACACTAGTTCGCTTCGATCCTGTCACGCACAAAGCACAACTCTATCTCGGTGCTTCAGAACTGCTCAAAACAATGAAGAGAGAAGAGAACGATACTGGGTATACTGACATTACTTGAAACTGCTTGTTCATATGTATGTAGTCTGCAGAATTTTCGGCTTGCCGGTTAAAGTGTTTGACTTGTGACCAGGGGTCACAGGTTGGAACTCAACTTCATCTTCCAAGTTGTCGGCAGTCAGGTGGCATCATTAACCCTCACACTAGGTGTAGCGTTTTGTTCAGTACATGAATGTGCATGTGGTTTTTGATTGATACTGTGATGCATGAAGTTGTATGGTACAAGGTTCTTTCCTTGTTCCGTTAACAACGCTGGTTGTAGGTTTGGTAGTGAAATAGTTACTGGTGTTCCTCCAGAAAGACACCAGATGATGGACAAGAACTAATCATGAGTTAGAGTTTAGTATGAATAACACAATCTGTTGTGTTGTTAACACGAGGTTCATCGAGAAGGAGTATCATCAGAAGTGTATGTAGTATTTCCAGATAGCAAAAAAATTACATGTGTTTGAGGGAATAAGGGAGTAGTGGTAGTGAGTAACTGAACGAACAGATTATTTGACGGTAACTGCCGGTGATGTGTGAGTGTCTGATATGATGTCGATTGGCACGTAAAATCCCATTCCTGCCTTTTTATAGAAAGATTTTGAGAGGCAAGTTATGTAGAAACATGAATTTTAATCTTGCAACCAGGGCACATTAGTTCATGTCACTACACTATGCAATAGAGTGGAAAGTGAAAAGGACTAAAATGGATAGACATATTAGGTATATAGCCAGCAATGGTAATGGGGTGGGGGGGGGGAGGGGGGAATATTTCGATAACTGTAAAGTATTGTAAAGCCCTATGGCAAATATGTGAATCACGTTGAGGTACATGGATGTGTGCGTGTTGACTGTGTAATGTGCCTACACATATCTGTCTTCTAACATTTCGTTTTTGTGAACTATGCTGTAAGCACCAGTTGGAGTTGTCACAGTAATAAATACGTGTGTCGTCTTCATTATTGATGAAATTGTTAAGTATTGGAAGGAGGTGTAGTTTCTTGGGCTAGGCACAGGATTTTTAACCGATAGGTAGTGAGTTGGTTTCGGGCCCAGCTCCACCTGTCGACATTTGGAAGCGAGGTATTATCATAATTCCCAACACAGTTGGTCCTGCTGCATGATCGTGCTGAGTGTTCTTGAGTGGTTTTGGTTTTTGGTTTGTGTAAATGTTGAGAACAGTTGTATTTGTGAATCATCGTCATTGATTGGACCGAGTTGATGAGCCATTGTTGGCAAGTGCACTCATATGCGGATGCTTCAATATTGCTGGTATTATCAACTTTGATATATTAGTGATGAATGTTGGTTAGCAGTGGAATCCAGCGTTGGCGTTTCGTCCTGTTTGGACCTCATCAGCTGAATGTACTTGCCTGCCTGCCTGCAGATGATGTTATTCCCGCCGAGACTCAAACCTAGCACCAGTCTGTTCAAGCACCAGAGCGTTATTCAACAGCCGCCTAGAATCACAATGGTCACTCATTGAACGACGAGTTTGAGTCTTAGTGGGATTAATATCCCTCTCTGGGAGGTGGATACATTCAGCTGACGAGTCCTAAATAGAAGGAGATGGGTGTCGTGGATTCCGCTGTTAGCCACTATCCATTCTTAATATCTAGAAGAATAGTTTATAAACTGTGAGTACATTTTGAATACATATGCATAGTATCTGCATGCATGTTGTTTAAACGGTAGGATATTTTTTTACATAATTTCAGTGGTGAGATTACCTGGCAACCTGAATATGCTGAATATATGATAGAAGGAGTTCCTGGAATACCTTTTGGAAGATTACTGCATGCATTCAGTACTGTTGAATGTAATATGAGAAAGCGAAGATTAGAATTGATGGCTCATCTTCCTCAGGATTGTGTTGCCCTAACTATATCTGCATTCCCGAGGTAAGGTTGTTTTGTATTACTGAATTGTATACTGTTTATATAAATAATCCATGTTGATCATAGAAATGAAACCTGTTATTCACAGTGTTCTGTTTGCTTTTACCTATGAATGGATACATTTATTCTGATTTGTTACCTTAAACTAAGACAAGATGTGTCAATGATTGCATATATCTCTGAAAATGCGTATCTTTCGAGAATTCAATGAGAAGAACGTATAAGTTTGTAGCTAGAGCTTCTCAACTGCACCATTTGAATTAATGAAATGCCTGAGGTTGATTTCAGTTCTTGCAACTAATGGATGATATTTTGTTTGGTTATGGTTAGTTGAAGAATCCAGGATGTTCGTTTCATGCTGGTTGGAAGTGGTCAGCTGGATGTGTGTACACCCGAGTGTGGAGTGATGCTGTTCCCACTGAGACTGGAACCTGGTACCCACCTCTTGAATCGTCAAACTTCACGTGAAGTCCTCAAACGGTCTTTTCAGTCTGTGTCCAATTCAATCCATTCCCACTCTCTTGTACATATTTGTTGGGCGATGGGTTCTTGGTTGGTTGGTTCGTTGCCAGTCACAGTTCCTTGTTGCTTATTCTTATTATTCTGACGAACTGATCGATATTCAGTATGGAGTGAGTGTAGGCGGCAGCTGTTTATGTGATGTAATGTATGTCTGCAATTTGTTGGAAATTCTTTTTGTAATATCTCTCAACCATCACATCGAAGCACTGACTAACTGACATTAGTAGTGTTTAAAATCCGGATGTTGTTCACGCTTTGTGCCGAGTGGAGGGCAGTAGATCTCCACACTGATTATTTCAGGTTAATGAAGGCCTGTATTGCTGTCTTTCCGATTCTGACTTTGACATTTTCATCTCTGCTGACGTCGCCTGTAGTTGAAACGATGCTGCCTTGGTAGGTAGGTAAAAGAGACAACTTCGTTTAGATTTCTCCCGCTGATCGTTATTGGTACTTGTTGTTGTTGTTATTTGCTGGGTGGGTATCTTCATCACTTGTGTCTTGTCTACGTTCACCTGAATGAAGTCCCGTCTTCTCTGCCCTGCCTCGACTCTTCTACCAACTTGTTAGTTTTTGCCCGTAGATCTTCGAGTTTGTGCGACACCTTTATTTTGAATTTGACACTAATAGTGGTTAGTAGATAACAGTGGGAAGCAAGTATATCTATGTGGCGAATCCCAAATAGGTCGTAACGCACATCCTGGATTCCATCATTCATATCAAATTGTATACTGATGATTTACCAGGTAAGCTATATAGTATATATTTGTGTCAAAATATGAAACTGTAATGAGTGACGCACTTCAAATTTAGGTATACAGTTACTATCCGCAAAAAACAATGTTAACATTTACGGATACTTCTGTTTATTAATTGAATGGTTAAGTAGTAATGGCGATATAAAAAGAGGCGTAGTAAACTAGTTGCGTATCAAGAATGCTTGTCATCCTGTTTTTTTAATTTGACAATGAATGTAAGCGAAGTGTATAGGTTTTTACCACATTATCATGAAGGCGTTGGGTTCATCGAAGCTGAACGCTTTCTGTTTTTCAATCGTGGCTAAATATCACTTATATATATATATATACGATGAGTTATTTGACTTGTTTATAAATGCCTACATCTCGACAATGATTCACTTGTCTCAGTGTACACTTAAAATCGTTTCGTAACTATTTCACATGTTAATATTTTCGTCTAAATTTATGCTTCTAATACTAACAAGTTACTTAGTTTACTAATCTATCGGCTTCAGGAGTAATCACAGTATAAATAAACCAGCCTACTTCTTAAATATCTCTAACATTATAACTTTTGGTTGATGTACTTGTAGTTCTCCGTTGTATTACTGAATCGAATTGTTCAACATCTGTTGGGATATGGGCCTCTATGCGGATGCCTCGATATAATCTGAATGTTAATTATGATAATTTATTTGGTTGTGGCTAGCAGGGGAATATAGGATGCGCGTTTTGTCCTATTTAGGACTCCATTAGCTAGGTGTATCTGCACTCCAGTGAATGATGTTATTACTGAGACTCGAGTCTCGTATCCATAGCTTCAAACACCTAAGCATTATCCACTAGGCCACTGAAGCACGATAGCCACATCTGATAGCCACATCTGATAGCCACGACTAAGTAAATTAGCGTAATACATATTCAGGCAATATTGAGGCATCCGCATAGAAGCCCATATGACAACAGACGTCGAACAATTCGATCCAGTAAAATAACGGAGAATTACAAGCATATCAATAATTAGTAGTAATAAATAATACCATTTGTACATAGGGTAACTGTCGTGCCTCAGTAGCCTAGGGAATAACGCTTTTTGACGTTTGAAGCGATGAATACGAGGTAGAAATCTTAGAGGGAACAACATCACTCTGCATTGGGGTGTAGGTATATCTATCTGATGAGTCCCAAACAGGATGAAACATGTGCCCTGGATTCTTCAGCTAACCACAACCAAGTAAACATTTTTAATATCGTTTAAAAGATGCCCCTTCCCTTTCCAACCAGAGTAGAAGTATTATTTATTTATTATTATGTTTTCCTTAGGTTCCCAGTAGAACATAGGACTTCAGTAGCACGTCTCCATTGCACTCTCTTCTCTGCAGTCCTCTCGACCTCATTCCACGACTATCCACAAGCTCTCATTTCATCCTCACATCATTTCACCAATGTCACCCTCATGTCGGACACCCAACTCGTTGTTTCCGCTTTGGATTCCACTGGAGGGGTTTGCCTAGCGTGTGATGTCCCCAGTCGGCCTCCTCAGTGTATGCCCAATCCAATCCATCCCGACTTTCTCCTTCTGTATATTTGTTGGGCGATGGGTTGTTGGTTTTTTCGTTGCCAGGCCAGAGTTCTTGTTGCTTATTCTTTCTGGCCATTCCGATATATCTATATAATCAAAATTCATCGCATTTGCTGCGCCTTCCGTTGTATGCATAGACATCCATTAATCTAGACTTTCTATTTTCCCTCTCCTTTTTTTTTCATACTTGATTTTTGTCTAGTCACTTCTTGTTTCAACTTTGCCTTTCATTTTTTTTTTTCATTTTGTGCTGTCTAGAAAAGTTTTATTGAATGTATAACTAACGCATAACTGAATTGATATGTACTTTAAATCAATACTGGAACTTTATTAAATCCAGTCACTTTTCAACAAAAGCTATGGATAAGTGAAGTTACATAAGAAAGAATAATAAAAAGAAAAAAGAAATTTGGAATACATTTTTGGTTCTCCTACTAATCTCAGTACTGTCTAATGCTTCAAGATGGATATTCTGAAGTTCTAATGAGGAGCTATGATCTATGGGACCATCTGAAAAGCTTGAATGATAGTCGTGCTATATGGTGAATTGACAAAAGTTGGAAAGTGTGTTAACCAGTGGTTGAATGGTTAACGTGTTCACCGTGGAACCTGAAGTGCCTGAGTTTGATCCCCGACCAGGTCGTGAGTGTGTACTCTTGAGGAATTTCATACTGATGTCAGTCTGTGATGAATAATGCCTTAGAAAAATTTGTTATTGTTTTGTTTAAAAAAACTTCAATGGCTTAGCTGGCAATCGTTTTGTAAGGATACTGTAAACTCATTGTTGTATAAACTGCACTGAGTTATGTCCTTTTGTAGTGTGACCTAAGGATTGCTAGTTTGCCTGCTTATAGATGTACTGGGCATTCGGTTGTCAGGTGTGTATAATCAACTTGGCTATCTGAGATAGCCGTAGTTTACTAAACTAGTACGGATACTGGGTGATGATTGAAGGTGAAATGGAAATTGGGACCGCGGCCGAACTCGAACCAGCGACCATCGGATTTCCGGCTCAGTGCTGTACCAACTGAGCTACGAGGTCCGAATGTCGATCAGATTTTTATTTCAAAATGAACTTTAAGCCCAAAAGGGCTATCACCAATAACTATGCATACAACTGAAGGCAGCACAGCAAATGCGATGAATTTTGATTATATAGATACATTGGAATGGCCAGAAAGAATAAGCAACAAGAAACTCTGGCCTGGCAACGAACCAATCAAGAAACTATCACCCAACAAATATGCAGAAGGAGAAGGTGGAGATGGATTGGGCATACATTGAGAAGGCCGACTGGGGACATCACATGCCAGGCCATGCCTTGTAGTGGAATCCAAGGGGGAAACGACGAGTTGGGCGTCGGTGCCGTGGGTGACATTGATGAGATGGTGTGAAGAAGAAATGAGAGCTTGTGAGCAGTCGTGGAATGAGGTTGAAAGGACTGTAGAGAAGAGAGTGCAATGGAGACGTGCTACTGAACCAGTGACCATCGGGTTTCCAGCTTGATACTCTACCGACTGAGCTACGAGGTCAGATAAAATCAATAAACATGACCATGTCTAATTGAAGCTGTAGAAACAATGATGACTATTCATTATGCATCAATAGGTATATCTTTCCCATATTAGATTTGTTTATTTGATTTATAACACACAGTGTGGTGTAGTATTATTTACTTGATGATGAAGTTTTGAGCATAAATTATCACTGCTCATAGTCATATCTCAATGTAATCACATACCACTTTCGATGCCTGATTTTTATGGTCCTATCGCCTGATATTTTTTGTTTCTATTGGTAGTAAGGTTTTCAATATTTCTCGTATAGATGTTTCATCATTCCTGTTCCATATATGTTGCGTGTTGATTCGATGAATAAAGATTCAGTAAGCAATTTCTCTCTCTCCTCCTAATTATATTGGACTTGAGAACAATGGTTTTATCCTACCCATCTAATTGTGTACTTTGTGTGCTTATGCATACATTGCAATAACCTAGTCTCCTCCTAGATTATTGATCTTATTTGGGTTTGTCATTCTATATTTAGCTACATTCCTATGTTCTACTAATCTGACTGGTCCCAACCGGCTAGTTTCACCTATGTACTTGACGTCACAGTCATGATATGGAATTTGATCGATTAGATTATTTCGCTTAATTGGT